CATGATCAAACTCTCTATATAAATTGTTTAAATTGTCAATGACTCCCGATTGTTCCACTTGTAAGATATGATCTTCCAATTTCTTTATTTTTTTCTCTTGGTTCAACAAAAGAAGATTTTCTCCAACTGATTAAACTTCTCTTTAAAACATCCAGTTTTTGAGTTATTCGATAAGCTACATGACCATTAAGTGAAAGTTGCCAACCATCTTCTATGATCTGTTTACAAGAATTCTCAGATAAGCACATCTCAAAGAATCTAAAAGGTTTGGAGAGGCTACGAATTGTAGGGTTAAGGTTGAGAATAAAAGGATGATGACCCGATCCCCATTTAGTACCTAGAGAGAGGGTTGCATTAGGAAAGATAGATAGCCAATTAGGAGAAGTGACAACCCTATCAAGAGTTCTTTGAATATGGCCTATGGTTCTTTTATTAGTCCATGATATTCCTCCTCCCTGAATATTCAATTCTAATAAATTATGCTCTATTACCAAATTTCTATATTGCTTGGAGGATAGATTAGAGGTATTAAAGGAGAATGAAGGTTTTAGAGAGTTGACAAAGGTAGCCTCATTAAAGTCTCTGATTAATAAATAGGGTAAAGAGATCTGTGCAATTTTGAATTCAGATCTAGCCAAAAACTATTTCTACGATGCTTAACAATAGGTCCATAAATGAAAGCTAGTAACCAATTACAAGTAGGTAAATGAATTTTTAGGAGTACATACCTTGGAGTTGATGACTCTATAGTGACCAAAAAACCTGCTTTCCACAGGACAGCTAAACCACCGTCTCTTCTTTGAGGATTAACAGTAATACAGTTAGGATAACGAAGCTTATTTGTTAAAGCATTTATCTTGTACTCTAGGATTTTTGTCTCACATAAAAAGATAAAGTCTAGGTTGACTCGTTGGACAAAATCCCTTAACCCCTGAACTGCCTTAGAGTGTACGACCTGCCCCATGACATTTCCAATTGAGGATAATCATTACGAAATGTGGGGCTGATATAGACCAACCACCTCTGCCCATAGAAAGATAAACACATGGAAAAAGGAGGTTAAGTAGTTACTTATAGAATTCTGATCCTCTGTAACTGCACTAGGATCATTACGAGCCACATGATGGACGCAGACAATGCATTCCTCTTGTACAGCTATGCCTGAAGATTCAGGCCTATCATAAATAGGTAAGTCTGGGGACAGATGATCAGGTTCCAGATTTGAAAAGAGATCAATTCTAGGCCTTTTTCCTCTAGTTGAAGAAGAGGGACCGGGAGTATCTTAGAAAAGACAATTTACTAAATCCTGTGTAGAAGTCGCCAGATGAAAAGTTTCGATTGAGACTTGAAGATGAGAGGGTGTTGAACTCGAAGCTACCAACAGATTTGAAGAAATTGGTGGGACTAGGGGAGAGTTTTGATTAGACTAAACCTGGTGATTAGATGGAGAAGGAGTTGCTTCATTGTGAAGGTTTTCAGAGGATAGCAAGGTGGTTGCATTGAGATTAACAAAATCACCAAAGTTGAGGCATTTCTATGTCCGCCGCAAAGCCTGTTCAGCTTTCAACCAGGGGCCTGGATTGTTCATGGGACGACGATTAAAAAATTGATCAAAAGATCAGCCTGAAGTGTCTGGGAGAGGTTGAGAACACCTGCGGAAAAGATGGTTGATTTTTCCACACAAGTAGCATGTCCAAGGGAGATCCTTATATCAATAAGTGATCCAGTTATAGATACTTATGAACGGACCAATTTGAAGAGGACGATCAACTAAGATGGTGACCTTTGCACAAATGTAGTTTTGAATAACTGACACCGAACGAGTAGGGCCAATACGTTCAAAGAGAAGATGACTTGCATCAATCGATAGGGTCTCAAAGGGTAGATCATGTATTTGGACCCAAACTTCAATTTCCTGTAGATTTCAAACATATTGGGGTCGACCTAGAACCCAAGGTTGCATTAAAATCCATTGACCATTTAGATTCCAGGGGCCATTAGTCCTAACTCGATCAAAATCTTCTACATATTAAAAGTTAAGGTGAAAATGGCCTCGATGAAATAGAGCTAGGAGAAGGCTGCTAGAATCCATATTCCAGAGTTCGTAAAGACCTTGGACTACATCATCAAATTGATTAATTAGGCGAGGGAAGAGACGACAAATAAGAGACATTTGCTAGTTTTCCTCAACACTAGGAGGGATTAGATGTTGGATATTTACCACATTTGTTCCAACATTACCGTTACCTTGAAGCATTTGCTAAAATGCTTCATTTAGAGCATCTAGATTATCCATTGACAAGAAGGAGAGGAAAAGATTAGGAAGGAACACTGGAAAATAGAAGTAGAGAATAAATGAAGAAGAAGAAGAAGAAGGAGGAGGAGGAGGAGGAGCAGGAAAAGGAGTTAAGATGAAAGATAGGGAAAAAAAGATAGTAAAGAACTGATACAACAACTTAAATTAACTAAGCAGAGGTAATAAATTGAAAAGACATTCGAACAGTATATGTAAAATTAGAGAGTTTTAGTTCGAATCTAACTATCTAGAGCAAACGAAGTTAACCTAAAGATAGTGAGAAACTAAATCTGTTCCTTGTTTAATGAAATCATTTAAGATGACAAGTGTTATATCGTAATAGCAAATTTACGACAGATCAACAAAGTAGAGTTGTAGATAGGTATACTCCCTGTTAATTGATTGAACATCCTTGCATGTAGCAGAAGTGCAACATATTAAACACGGGCAACGAAATTTCACACTGTTGTGCAAAGCAAGCGGTTGTTTACATCCTTTACATCTTTGCTTCAATAATCTATTTAACTTGTATTGTTGAAATATGCCACTATTCAAAGTAGAATTAACACTTACCCAATGCAGATATCTATATTCAAGTTGTTTTGGTTGCTTTGGTTGAATCAATGTATATAGCAGCCTAGAAATCCAATGAATCCAATGAACACTTACCCAATACAAATATCTACATTCAAAGTGTTCATGCAATGAATCAATGTATAATAGTTGTTTATCTTTAACTTACGTTCCAAACAAGATTATACAACAGCCTAGGAATCTAATTACAAATAAAAACATCTCAGCAATTAGTCAGTATGGATCCCTAACTCTCTTTGGAATTGACAGATTGGATTCTTTTAATTGAAGTGTTTTGATTGAATTCGTATAGAAGAAAACAAGTAAATTATTAGGTTTTGGAGGAAGGAAGAGAGAATGAGGAAGAGATAGAGAGTGAAATATGATTGAAAGAAAAAACGTACAATTCTAAAGTTTTGATATGGCTATCAATCATTGGATCTATAACAAAGTCATGAAACGGGATCTGCTCCTCACACTTGGGCACCTCACATTCACATCCACCGTGCATTAGAAACATCTTCCGTGAAAAATAACTTACAAGTACAGGAGATGCTCTCAATGCATAGTAGAATGTGCATCTGAGGCACCCTATGTGAGGAGCAAATCTGGTCTCCAAAGTCATTAGCTATAAACCTACATCAAATCTGGGTTCATACATAAATGGGTTTGACTATGATATGGAAAAGATATGACATCTGAAATATTTTTGACCAACCAACTGGAATATAAATGTAGTAGCCAATCAGGTGTTATTTATCAAAATTCATGATTGGTCAAAACTCTTACCATAGGGGCGGAGCCAGGGGGGACCCAGGGGAGCCATTCTCCCCCCCCCCCCCTCCCCCCCATGGTCCAGAAATCCTCTGGTATTAATACAAAATTTCATGTAAATTCTCCCTTCCCCCACTCCCCAATCCAATGGTTGCCCCTCTATGGGCCCATTTACACTTATCCCCCTCCCTAATCCACTACTTTAGGTTTTGGCCCCCTTTATAAAAATTTCTTAGCTCCGCCCCTACTTACAATACCATGTCTTTCCGGCATCGTAGATTTTCCCTACATTAATTGGATGACATGGCATTAACCATACATCATCTTGCATTTAAAACAAATGATAAATCATATGAAAACGAATACAGAACATAATAGTCGAAGGAAACACTTTGATGCCAATGTGATACAAATGATAGTGAAGAGGAAAATAACAAAAAGGCGATTGTGTGGGTGTTGCATGGACATGAGTGTTTTTTTCATAAATCAGACCAAAAAAAATGCCCACACTACTAAATATCATGGCTCTGTTCGCTTTTTGGTAAGTTATTTACCTGGGTAAGTTTTTCTCATTTACTCGTGTTCTTTTATTTCTCATGTAAATATGACAATGACCATTTTAGCCATAAAAATCTATTATTAAAAGGGCATTTTGTCCATTCAAGTGTTGGAAACTTCTCCCAAAGTGGGAAAGTTATTTATCCACTTAGGAGATGGGTACCACTTACCCAATTAAGTAATACTAAGAAAATATTTTTTTTCTAATCCCCACATAAATTTGAAAAAAGAACATTAAGTTCTTGGTTCAACCAATTTTTCCCCTAATCAAAATCCAAAAAAAGAATACCCCCATATCTGTCAATTTGACAAATAAGTAGATTTTGTATCAAATTATACCTTAAAAAGTAGCTATGGATTACAAACAGATTGTATCGGGTCAGATCCGATATTGCACATTTACTTATCGTAATCACTAATCAGGACCAGTTCTACCTGAGTACCTGACCCTGAACAGACCCGATCCATTGGCAACACTACTTGGACTTGGACTGCATCAAGGTGCTAACTGTTACTTATGGGCTCTACTCCAGGTTTTTCATGTTATTTGTATAACATGCGAGGGTGTTTTCGTCATTTTGTGTGAATAAATTTGGGAGTATGGATAACTCCAACTGTCTCAACTCCGTCCTCGATCCAATCAGTTAATCCAAGATGTTCAATTCTTACATCTGAAACTTCCATCCAGCCGTTCATGTACATTTTAATGAACGGTCAAAGATCGTGATCCGCGTCATTGCTTTCTATTGGCTGATTTAATCCAGCATCATATATAAATAAGAGATAAGGGAGTCGCCAAGCGTATTATTTGCCGGGTTCCCTCGTCTTTCCCTGTTTCTCTTCTCACTTCAAAATCCCGAGCTGTCGATCCCTCTCGGAGCTTTACTCAGTTACTTGTCAAGAAGTTCGATATGGCCGGAAGGGGAAAATCTCTTGGCGCTGGAGCTTCAAAGAAGGCATCATCCAGGAGCAGCAAGGCCGGGCTTCAGTTTCCCGTCGGAAGGATCGCCAGGTTTCTGAAAGCCGGTAAATACGCTGAGAGAGTTGGTGCCGGTGCTCCAGTATATCTCGCCGCCGTTCTTGAGTATCTTGCAGCCGAGGTTCGTTTTGCCCTGATTGGGGATCTACTTTCCTCTTTCCTCTTTCCTCTTTCCGCTTTGTTTGGATATTGAATATTTGACCGAGTTATTAATGATGGAAACTTGATTGCAGGTGTTGGAATTAGCTGGGAACGCAGCGAGGGATAACAAGAAGACGAGGATCGTGCCAAGGCACATTCAATTAGCGGTGAGGAACGATGAAGAACTCAGTAAATTGCTTGGTACGGTCACGATCGCAAACGGTGGTGTGATGCCTAACATCCACAATTTGTTGTTGCCGAAGAAGACCGGGAGTGGATCTTCCAAAGGTGTCTCTGCTGATGATGAGAGTTAGATTTGTTCTCTGGACATGAGGAAGGAATAGAGAAAGAAAGCAGCAGATGAATAGTTCTTTAATTCTTTGTATTTTAAGGTTTTACGTTTAGAGTTTTGTTTTTTTTTTTGTTTTTGTTTTGTTTTGTTTTTTTTTGTTTTTTTTTTTTTTTTTTNTTTTTTTTTGTTTTTTTTTTTTTTTTTTCTGGGTGTAGTTAGGAGTTTATTAGTGGAGATTGACCAATGGAAAATGTTGATGCAATCCCTGTGAATTTGGATGAAATTTTGTACTTATCTACAAGTTTCTTGTAACGTGGTTCCTGTCGTGTTGGGTATGTGATTTTTTTTTCCTCTTGGTTCGATCTACTCTACTGTGGCCCCACAACTGATAAGATGGAGGATGATGAAGCTGATACTTGTCAATTTCTGAAGCCCGCTTTATCGTTAATCTGATTTACGTTAGGCACATCGAGTGGTGTATACTGCGTCATGTTCAGGAATACGGTCGCAGAATATGTTTCACAAGAACAATGGATCCAGCTGATTACATGCGTAACAGTCTTCTGAAGTAATTATTGATGAATTCGCAAGAACAATGGTTCATTAAGGGCACTGGGTGCAAATGCAATGCAAGAAATGCGGATAGCAGGATCATTGCCAATTTGCCATTAAGGTCAAACTAATTGGCATTTCTATAAGGAAACTCACATCAGCTTTGAGTAGGCATAAGAGGCTCGGTTTGGAAGGAGTATAAAACCTCCTATTTTATATTATTTTGTAGGAAAAATTCCTATAGGTATCTGTATTTTAGGCTGAGTGATAATTTAGTACTTAAAACTTTAAAATGCGACGATTTATCTGAATTTTCATTTTGTCACAATTTAGTATTCATCGTTAACTAACCAATGCCTTTTAAATATAATCTAATTTTTTTTTATCAACCATCCAATAAAACAAAACGTTATTTTTATTTTTCAAAATATATAACTTATTAATTTTCGGTGTTATTTGATTATTGCTTTTCCGTTTCAATGTGAATTTCGTTTAGGGTTTCGCGTCGTAGATGTTATTGCTACATTAGATCTTAGTGATATGCGACCTTGTACTGATAGATGTGCTGTGTCGTAGTTCTTTTCTTGTTTTTCTGTGGTGTTATTAATTTCGAACATTTTCAGATCTTTAACTTTCGTTTGGTCATGATTTTTTTAGTGTTGAGAAAACTCATATTTGCTTTGGAAGAACCTTTATATATGCATTTTGATTCTAGTTACATAAATTTTATTTTCCTTTTCTTTTTTTTTGAGTTCGTTTCCAGACATCATAAATCTGTGACGGTCTTCCAGTTCTGGTGCCGCATTGACATCTTTGTATTTTGTTTTTTTTTTTTTTATATACATGTAATTTTGTTCTGTATATTTTCCGGAAAAAGGATCTTTTCCTCCCATGATCATTACTGTATCCATTAATATTTGTCTAGCGTGTAACACTTCTATTAGAGTTTGTAATATCGGAAAATTATGTCTCTTGGGGTGCCGTAATGAATTTTACTCTCCTGCTTTGCTTTCTTCATCTTCGATGGCTTCTCCCTTCATTCTGCTGCCTTCCACCCTATTCTTATCGCCTCCCATCTATCGTCTCTCTCCTTATTTGTTAGCAATTCAATTCAAGATTCAATCCTGGGATTGCCTTCTTTTAGAATCGAGGAACAAGTCTTATTCCCAGACCTGAGTTTCTAAGTTTTATTGCATTACTACAACTTCACTTCACTCTCTTGTCCTTGCTACAGTGACTCATCGTGGTCGTCATTTCCCCACTTCTGACTTGAGTTTATGTACATGTCTTCTTCTCTTTCCCTCCTTCCTTTCTCTATCCGTCTATTGTCTTTAGAATCCCCTCTTTCTCTCTCTCTTTGACACTCACATGCACAAAAACACAGACTCCACTGGTGATGTCTGAGTCTGACTGAGGAATCGAACAGAGACAGACAGAAAGAAGAGTAGACAAGGGAAAAACAAATGAAACTCTATAATTAATTCATGGATTGAGGCCACGTATTCCTACTCCTACTCCTCCTATTGCTACAAAAAGAGCACATCGCCCCTCGGGAGAGTGAGAGAGAGAGAGGGGGAGTATCAGAAAAAAAGTTACAAATTCAATGGAGGAGAGAGCAGAGACAAAGTTAATGTCAATATGATGGAGGCCCATCCCAAGGCCCATCTCACTCCTAGGGGCGGCAGCTCCTAGGATAAGGCCAAGAGTCCAAGATAAGCCAAGGAAGGATAATTTAAGATCCATCAAGACTCTTCCAAGACTCCAAGACTTATCAAGAATCCAAGCTTATCAAGATTCTTCCAAGATAATTCAAGAATTCAAGAATTATCAAAACTCAAGAATTCAAGAATTCTAGATAATCCAAAATTCATGCATGGAGAAGATCAAGGGAGATCGGACGGTGGAAGATCAAGCCCAAGAATTCCAAGAGGGTTCGACCTTATCAAGACAGCCCAAGAAGATCAAGATATGTTCTTTCCTAGTTCTTTTACAATTCCCAAATGTATTATAAATACTGCTATTTCCCAAAGTTATTCATCAATTTTCATACTTCAGATTTCAGAATTTCTTCAAGTTCTCTTCTTCCTATTTTCGCCACCTTTTCTTTCTCCTAGAGAGAAATCGTGTTATTCGCTAGGTGCTAGCGAACGCCCGGTGCTTGCATAGCCAGCTCCGGTTCTCATTGCTTCCACGCTGCGTCAYGATACCGGCAATGCCTTGTGTATCGACACCGGAGATACTAACTCCATCGGGGCAGAGATCTCCGAGGTCAGTGTCCAAGGAGGGGAAGTCATCGACTGCTTGGATGCCAACATCGYTGATATCGTTGAGGATCCTAAGCCCAATCGGTATGCCGATTAAGAGGGTGCTCATTAACATGAAAGGGTACCTGGAGGAGGTGGGCCACCTCACCAAGATGAATTCGCAGGACGCATGGCTTCCCATCATTGAATCTTGGCCAAACCATGGTTCGGGTACCATCTTTGAAGAAGAATCATCAGATTCCTTTTGTGAATCTATGGATTGGGATTCTTCAGCATTTTCAATATCTAAGCAGCTTTCAGAGGTGAATTTGTCTTCGAGTCGCTTACCTTCACTCTGTTCCATCCCTCTTTCTTTTTTCATGAAAACCTCAATCCGAGGATTAGGTCTATAACAAAGGAATTGAGGTCTTGGGGAAAGATAGTTGGTTTTGGGATCGTAAAGAGGAAGAAACATATCAACATCAAGAGGAGCTAAATCAGGGGAGGACAAACAAGGCTTTGCAGCAAATTTTTGGGTTTCTAACATCTCTGATTTGCTTTCGCTTTCTAAACATACCTGAGAATGAAAAATTGCGTCCGACTTCATACCAATCTCTTCTGTAGATTCCCATAGATCCATGCAAGTAAGAGGGGATTGGGCGCTTAAGGGCATTTCGGTCAAAACAAATGTTTAACAGGCCGATTAGTCATGAAATATGCATTTAGGTTGACGTGGACAACCTGGGTCATTCAACTTTAAAAGTATTCTAACGGATGCTGATTTTTATAAAATAAAATCTCACTAATATGATGAGTTTTGGACGTTTTGAAAAGTTATGATGAGTTTAAGAGAATTCATAAAATGTGATGATGGATTTTGAACAATTTCCCATTATTAAATTACATAATTCGGAAAAGTAGATCTTATTTGCAACATTCTATGGAGTTTCACTTGATCTTTCTGAAAGAACTTTTTCCGCATCTAAGAGAGATTTGTTAAGCAAATGTAAATACTTCGGTAGTTTTTCTTTTGCATGAATTTAAAAAGGAATTGGTTTCACAACTCACAAGAAATAATTATCATTAATAGGTGAAGAAATCACTGCTTTGTGAACTAATTTAAACAGTCTGGTTTATTCTTGGTTCGAAGAGGCTGATGCATTCTTCATTTAAAAGAAGCAACTAAATGTAGTAGTTTTGGGGTCATTAGGTACATTTGAAGAAACGGTTTTTAGACGTACAAGTGTAAGGGTGCCTGTTATGCAGCTGAGCAAAAATGTAGTGGGTAAAATAAAAATTTACATTAAGTTTAATTTTTATGACATGTACTAAAATCAAAGTAAGTATCCGCTTTATAATGCACTTTAAAAAAAGAAAATAGGAAAAAGGTTATGGTTTGTGTCTACCCGTATTCAATGAAAACGGGATCCACTACAAATAGAATTCTGTGGGAATTAATAGGCTATATAACAATCACAAATGGACCAACAACTAATTCCTACACATATAACCCAGATGCCTAGCGAGGTTTATATTAAGGCTGCAACTCGGGCTGGGTTGGCCTGAACCCAACCCTAACTCAATCCGAAAATGGGTCAGGTTGATTCTTGGATTAGGGTTAGGGTTGAAATTTATGAATTCGACTTTATTTCGAGTTGGGTTAGGGTTAATCTTTCGAGCAACCCGATCCAACCTGAATCTGATTTTATAATATATACATATATAAAAATATTATATAGATGATATATCATATATTGATTTGTTTATATGCATGATAATTGTATAGCCCCCACCACATACTATCTTTTATTTTTTTAAGATAATCACTTCACTTAATCCCAATTAGAAATACTAAAACCTTGATAATATTTTTTTGTTTGGGGTTTTTATAGTTCAGTCCACCCCTAGGGTGGAGCTATGATTTCTAGGAGTGGACTGAATCCTGACCGTGGATTGATGCTAAATCCATGGGCAAGATGCGGTTTATAGGGGGGGCTGCAATTTTAGATTTCTGAGGTGGATTGCAGTTCTCCTCTTTCTTGTTTTACCACTCATAACTTGCTGCCCATAAAAGATCTATTATAAGTCATAATTCATAATAAACTACAGTCATTTCAAACACTTTTTTTTATGAATTTTGTACTTAAAGAACCAATAAAAACATTAACAAAAAATACTAATAAAACATAGGATTAATATATGTAGTGAAAGTTGAGTTAAGATATGAAATTAAGAAGTTCTACAAGATTATAAGGGATAGAAAAAAGGTTGGACTGGGCTCAACCCAACCCGAAATTAACTTTGGGTTGGGTTGAATTGGGTTAGGGTTGAAGGAATTTAATAAGGGTTAGACTTAAGGTTGGGTAGGTCAGATTGAAGGTTGGATTAAGTTAGAATTAAGGTTGGCCTCAACCCGACCTGACTTGTAACCCTAGTTTATATGCCAGTATTTTCAGCATATCTTCTTAGATAAGTCAGTCTTCTTACGAAGGAGAAGAAGGTTATGGATGTTGGGCATGACTACTCCATTGGCAAGGCAATGGTGAATTGGTGAGCTCA